TAGAGATCCTCGTCTGGCCATACCCAGGTGAAGGCAGAAAGCAGAGATATATGAGATATGACAGAGAAGGGCCACTTGGCCTCCCCTCCTAAGCTGTTAAGATTAGGCTCAACTGGACCCATCTGAGTCTTAGATTCTTCTACATCTCTGCCTCCTCTTTTTGCTTTCTTTATCCTTTCTGCTAGTACATCATCAACCACAGACTCTGTGATACTAATTGTTTCATGTGTGACTTCTGTCTCTCCATGAGTCTGTGACACCGCCCCCCGCCCCAACCTTTTCTGGTCACCCACAGAGTTCCTGATAGTTTAGATCCACAGAACTTTTCACAGTGTTTGATAGGCCAGGCTCACTATTACTCAAATACTGGATAAACTTGTATAACCAAAGCTGAAATGGTAAAAAATCATGAAGGTTATAATACCCAAGCAGCTGCTGCTCAGTCTCCCCTCAGGGAAGGAGGCGATATCTCACCCTTGCGAGAAGATCCAGAGGGCCCTTTGCTCCTCCCTAACACCTTGGCTGCAGCCTGTACCCAGAAGACTCACCTCTGATATCCCTGCACTTCCCCATCACTAGCCTCTCCTGGGCCTGATATGAAGTGGCCAGAGCCCTGCAGAGAATAGATACCTGCAGATCCATGAGGGACGAAGCCTGGTGGCATTTTGCCCAGCTCTCTACCAGCCGCTCCACACTCCCTGAGCACACATAACAGAATCTGGCTTCAGATGTTAGGGCCCTGCCACCCTCTTGCTCCATGTGAGTTCCCAACATGTCTGCAAAGAGAGGAAGCTTCATTAATGGCACAGCTTCCCTGTGCTCCTCCTCCTTCTCCTATTTGGAAACAGGTGGAGGACCATGAACTACAGGACAAGCAGCTACCGTGGCTTTAAGACAGCACAGCCTAACCATGCTGTACACTGAAAGGCAAATTTCTCACACCAAGATGTGATGAGAAAAAGCAAAACAGGACAGTAAATGATCCCTACGAAAAAGTAGGAGCATGTGCCATGGTCCTTGCCTGTTGGCCGAGCCAGCCCCTGGCCCCGACAACACGGCCTGGCCTCCAGAGCTCAGGCTGCTCCTATACCTCTTCCCTGCCTATGTCCATTGATGCCACACTGGAGTCACACCACTCCATTCTGAAGCCGAGCACCACACCTACCACAGAGCTCAGGGAATTGCTCTGGCCAGCCAGCCCCTGGCCCCGACAACACGGCCTGGCCTCCAGAGCTCAGGCTGCTCCTATACCTCCTCCCTGCCTATGTCCATTGACGCCACACTGGAGTCACACCACTCCATTCTGAAGCCGAGCACCACACCTACCACAGAGCTCAGGGAATTGCTCTGGCCCTGAGTATGTCAGTAGCAAGGCCAGGGCCTCTCTCCAGTTCTTCAGGCTACAGGCACACACCATGTCTTTCCAATTATTCTGCACAACACAAGCTAAAAGCTGTAATGGGCAGAGAGGGAAGGAGGCCATCAGCCAGCCAGCCAGCCAGCCAGCATAGGCAACAGGAGTCGTGCACAGGGATGTGCTAAGAAAAGTCATCCATGAGCAGGCTTCCTGTTAGGCCACTGAGTAGGAACTAGCAGTGAGGCAGGGGTGGTTAGAGGAGAAGGAGAGAGAGACAGATAAATGCCAGCCTCAAGGTGTAGGCATCACCTGATAAGGTCCAGGTAACCCCCTTCCCTCTTCTGCAGGTGAGCAATTACCGAGGAGATTTTGGTTCTCTTCTTGGCCAAGTAGCACTCCTGTGTTTGCTTCAGCAGATCTGCACCCCCAGCCTGGGCCAGGATGATAGCATCAGCAAAGCGCTCTTTCCGCAGGCATAGCTCCACAGCAGGACCCAGTTCCCCAAGCAGGAGAGCCTGGCTCAGGAGTCCATCGGTGTCTGCAAGCAGAGGCATCCCCAAAACATTAGTCTGCTCTCAGACCCTAGCTTCCCGTCCCCTGTAGAGTCCACAACACACCCCTTATAGCTCTCTATCACTCAGCCTGCCTTGTTCCAAACAAAACCCTCGAGTTTCATTCCTTGGCAATAATATGCAGTCGGGTGCTCCAGGGGTGCCCAAGTCCAGTATTAGCTGTCTAAACACAGGCCTAAGACAAGGGAGGGGACTCAGGCGGCAGTATCACAGATGTGATGTGTGCTTGCTCAGCATGGGCAGGGTCACGGTCCTTTCAGCAAGAAGACAGAAGGACAGACAAATATCTTGGTACAAGGCCTTCCACAGGAAAGACCCATCCATGAAAATCTGCAACAAGAGAGAGAGCACTAACTGGTAAGAGACCCACCCAAGTAGATGGTGGGAGGAAGGTAGGAGGCAGGGGACAAGAGGATAATGTCTCAAGTCAAAGAACTCTGGGCCCATCTACTCCCAAGCAGAGAGTTTCTCTCCGTCAGGGTCAGGGTACCTTCTGTGATGGGGAATCTCCCGAGGAGTCATGTTCAGAGGGACCAATTCATCAAAGAAAGCTGAGGAGGCAGAGGCTTCCTCTGTGGTGTGTTTGGAGGCCTGAGCAAGGAAGGACAGAGGTGACTACTTAGGAAATAAACCCAGAAGATAGAGACAGCACTGTCATGTAGCACACTCTGAGAGCTCTATTTGGCCCTTAATAGGTAAAACTAAAAGAATAACCAGAATAATAAGGTTTGGGAAGGGCCCTAGTTCATGGTTAAGACACAGCTGCACTCCCCAAAATTCCAGCCCCCAAACTCATGGACTCTGTGTCTCATCTGGTTCTGAGAGTAAGGAAAAAGCCCTAAAGACAGGTCTCTTACGCTACCCTAGGTCAGGCCGGCTGGGCTCCTACCACACCTGGCTGTAGAAGGCCTGTTGTCCGTTACTGTTGAGGTCATCTCTCTTGAACTGAGGGCTCTCACCTAGCCCCAAGTCACTCTTCAACCGTGTGGCCACCTGCAGGGAGAGACCTATGAGCACCACTTTTAACAGCATAAGGTCAAATGAGCATTATGCTCTCTTCCCACCTCCATACCCCACCAACTGGACTCTCTAAGATCCTCATCTATTTTCCTGGGAAAAAGACTACTCCAGGAGGTAAAATTCTTGTATATGCATTAATTAAGTCCAGGAAGAAGTATTCTGAGAAGACTTCCTCTGACAGGATTCTCTTGTTCTCTGCAACAAGTACATGTTTCTAATGTGAAAAGCAGCTTACCTTCTTTTGAAGCTCTTCTTTACTATATCCTAATAGCTTTAGGAATTTCATTCTGGAGACTTGCTCTAAGGTCACCTAAGAGCACACAAAAGAAAAGTCTACATTAAATGAACATGAATGACCCTCCTCCTGCACCAAGGTGGACATCTGTGCCAGTGTACCTTCGAGTGTATTCTTTGTACTACCAGAAGTGCCCTCAGCAGGGCAACACCATCTCTTCCTTTCCCTCCCCAGAGTTGATTTATTGCCGGGCTATGGGCAGTGATAACAAAACCCCCTTCTGCATGAGATTTTGACATTCTGTCGACTTCCAAGCTCTGTTACCCTGGTAAGAGTAAAATGTCAGCTGTTTCTAGGCAACATTGCTTGTGATTGGTAAAACCACATCTAGACTGGAACTATGTAAACCATAAATAATTGATGTGGACACCATGCTCTGGGTTTCCTTAGTTGCAATGACTCTTGTAATTGGACAGATCCCTTGAAGGGACTGTGGAAGCTATGCTTTCAGAGCTGGTACAAGAGATGTTGGCTCTCATGGGCAAGAGTCTTCTCAGTCAGGACAACTTACACACCCGCCTGTTGTATATCTCATCTCCTGAGCTGTCCTCTGGAGAGATGAGGAAGAGAACTCTGACTTGCTGCATGGACTGCTACAAGGACTCTCACAGAAGGGGACGGCCTGATGCTGCCCTGCTGACAAGCTGTGGTCCCTGTCCCATATTCTTCTGAGGAGACTGATGCCAAGTGTAGCCCACCAAGTCTTGTGAGTCTAAATGTCTAGGTGAGAAAACTGCCAGTAGAAGTTGCACAAATACAGGGCCAGCCCGTGGCTCACTCGGGAGAGTGTGGTGCTGATAACACCAAGGCCCCCGGGTTCGGATCCCATATAGAGATGGCCAGTTTGCTCACTGGCTGAGCGTGGTGCTGACAACACCAATTCAAGGGTTAAGATCCCCTTACCGGTCATCTTTATTAAAAAATAAATAAATAAAAGAAGTTGCACAAATACAGGGCCAGCCCGTGGCTCACTCGGGAGAGTGTGGTGCTGCTAACACCAAGGCCCCCGGGTTCGGATGCCATATAGAGATGGCCAGTTTGCTCACTGGCTGAGCGCGGTGCTGACAACACCAATTCAAGGGTTAAGATCCCCTTACCGGTCATCTTTATTAAAAAATAAATAAATAAAAGAAGTTGCACAAATACAATAAACAAAGTCAGCTTTCTACCCAGTGTCCTAAATATCGAGGACCAAGCCTTCCTGAAGCCCTTCTAATCTGGGTTAGCTAGCCTCCACCCTTCATTTATTCTACCCTGAACCATGAATTCTGACTACAGTCTTTCTCATAATCTCTTTGGGCCTGCTCATCCTTCCATTCTCTTCCCTTGGAAATGTTCATACTCAGCTTCAGACACCACCGTGATGGGCTGCTCTTGGATAGCTTTTAAACTCCACTCCCCCCTGTCCTATTGGCACTGCTGTCTCCTTTGTTTAACAGAGTAAAGGCTGAACTCCTGAGCACTCCCTCTATTCGCTTTCCTACCTCCTATTCCTGGGCTTGCATCCTGTGTATAACAAAAGCATCATTTCTTTTCTTCCCACATCTTTCTGTAGCTTCATGCTATAGCAGATGATCTTTCTCAAATCCTTTTATCTTTCTCAGCTTCCCAACATCTACCTTCATAAAGCTCTGCTATGTCAGAAGCACAGACCCAGAGTCCCTCTCAGACCCCCTAGGACAGCCTTTGCCTTTCTTTTTGCATTCTTCTCTATAATCCCAAAGATCTGCATAACCTTCCCATTGTCTGACCAGTCAGAAACTTCCTTTTCTTCCTCAGACCTCTCATTTGCTCATTTCCTTTGAAAGGTATAGCCTCCTCCTGGTGTCATAAGCAACTTGAAATTAAATTAGAACTGGAAATGAATGCATGTCTCCAGAGTACAGTGACACCTAAACCCTGGGGCCCACCACAAGGATTTGCCTTGGGTTACTTGAAACAAATTCAAAGCTCTCTTATCACGATGTACCCTTCCAACTGATCCTACTCTCCCTCCTTTTTCTCTTTTCTCCCTTTCTTCTTCCTTCATACCAGTTTACTGTGAAAGCCTTTGCCTGGGCTCTGGTAAAGTATACAGGAAGTTGGCAATGGTAGCAACAAAGGAAAAAGTCTCTTGTACTTCACGTCTTCCCTAGCCACTCCACAAATGGCCTCTGAGCCTCTGGTAAAGGGTGAAGATTCTGTGTCCATGGAGTAGGTGTAGTATTGTAAGGAAAAAAAGCAACGGGAGTTAGGGCCTCTAATCTGGGTCACAGTGTGGTTGTGCATCTCCTGGAGTCAACAGAGGTTGGAGTTCTAGGCTTTGAGGAAACACCTCTGAGCAGCCAGCCTTTAGGCTTCCTACCTTCAGGAACTGCCAGAGCATCTTTTCGCTTTGCAGTGACACTTGCTGGCTCTTGTTCTGACAATAATTCCAGAGACTTCCTGATTCCAGAGCCTTTTGCAGCTCCATTAACCGCATCAGGAATTCAGATTCTGTGGTCACTTGACTGATGAAGACTAGGCAAGGACAAGGCTGTGACACATTATGGGCAGGGTTGCTGGGGAGGCCAAAGGTAACCAGCATCCCCCCAAACTGGAGAGGAAAAGCAAGAAGGGTAAAGGTCATACCTTCAAGCCAAAAACTAACCCCAAGTCAGGATCACAGGGAGGGCTATTTATTGGTCACCCCTAGGACAGGAAACCAATAATAAGAGAGCTCCTGGGAGTGGAACAGGATCAGGAATTGAGTATCGAATGTACTCCCATATCAAAACCACTTTTGCATTTTTAGCACCATCAGCTTAAAACTTCACCACATGGTACCTGTCTTCTGCTCAACTGTGCTGGGACTGCCATCTTCCCAGTCACATGGATTGAACACCTTGATATTACAACATAGTCTTTATACCCACCATAGCTACACAACAGCAAAGTCTTACCTCTCCTTGTTTAATGTCTCTCATACAGGTCCCCTCCATCTCATTCCCAGTGCCAGCATAGCTAGATTACTGCAATAGTTTGCTGGCCTGTGTTTTTTTCATTCCTCCAATCTAAGCCTTAGACTACCACCCTGTTGCCTGCACCATCCTGTTCCTAGTCAGGAGCTTGTAATGTTTTCAAAGGGCCACAGGCAAGAGCTTAAGCTCCTCTGCCTGGACTGAACAAAACTTCCACAAAATCAGACCTGTCTTTCCCGGGCTTATTTATGTGATTGCTCCACATCTCCAATATGCCTGTTTCATTCCTACTTCTATGCCTTTCCCCACCACAACACTCCCACCTGGAGCACCCTTCTAGCCAAATTAGATACTTTATATAAAGCACCTAGCACAAAACAGGAGCTTTAAAAAGTTCCTGTACTCCATCAGTTCTTAACCCTGGCTGCACATTAAAACTAGCTGGAGAGCTAGTCAGAGTTGCCAGGTCATACACTAGATAATAAAATCAGGAACTCTGGGGTTGGGACCAGGCATCAGTATTTTTTGAAATTCTTCATGTTATTCTAATGTGTAACCAAGGCTGACAACTACTGCTTTACTCCCTAACTATTCACTACTTCCTTTCCTAAGACTCACCTCCTTAATGAACTTTCCTAGTCAGAATTCTTATTTCTCTTGACTCCTACAGCACAAAACCTACACCACAGTTTGCTTTACTCCCTAACTATTCACTACTTCCTTTCCTAAGACTCACCTCCTTAATGAACTTTCCCAGTCAGAATTCTTATTTCTCTTGACTCCTACAGCACAAAACCTACACCACAGTTCAGTGCTAAACAAAATCATTTAAACTTTTGATTTATATAGTACTTGATAGTTTTACAAAGTGCTTACATATATTCTCATTTGAGGTCCATGTCAATTTCACAACTTAAGCTGGGAAGGTATTACTACTTCCGTTTTACAGATAAGAACACTGAAGTCCTGGGAGGTTAAGTGGCTTGCTCAAGGTTATCCAGCTAATAAAGATCAGAGCAAAAATAAGAATTCAGGCCTTGTAACCTTAGAACTCTTCACCTCACTACCTGCTTTTTTTAAAACTTCACTGCCTCTTGAGTGTGTTAATTTTAACTCCCTGATGAAACTGTTGGGTCCTAAAACAAGAACCTCTACTTTTATATATCTGTTTTCAATTCAAACGTAGTATTTAGAACATTGTGCTAGGTGCTTTGGGGTCTTGCTACTCAATGTGCTGGTCCTTACACAAGCAGCAAGGGCATCACCTGGGAACTTGTAGGAAAATCAGAATCTTGGGCCCTTCTCCAGACTGAATAAACCAAAATCTGATTATTAATAAGATCCCTATGTGACTTGTATGCACATTAAAGTCTGAGAAACACTGCTTTGGGGATGTAAAAATGAACAAGACAGGGTCCCTGTACTTAAAGAATCTATTACTGAATAGGGTCTCCAGAAAATGGAGGATCCCACAAATCTGTGGGATTACAGAAGGGAGGTTAATTTTGACTAGAGTTAAAGACCGGCATCACAGAGGAGCTGGTATTGAAGTGGGGGGCCTTGAAAGGCTGCAGTAGAATTCAATGGACCCAAGAGAGAAGCTGAAGGGAGGTTACAAGCAGAGGCAGGAGAGTTAAGGAGTTATTCATGGAACAGTAATACGGAAGTGGAGCACACAGAGCATGTGAGATTGAAGTGGGGAAGAAAACTGGAAAAGTAAGTGGAATCCTATGTACATTTGGCCTTGAGTCTATAAGGCAACAGGGGGCTGAAAGGTTTTGAGCAGAGAAATGATGGGATGAAATCCACATTTTTTTCTTTCCTTCTTTGTATTCCTGACTACCAGCTCAGACATGTAAGGGCTCTCCATAACAAAGAGGTCTAAAGCAATCAAGTTCTTTTGGCAGAGCAGGCAGGGTGTAGAATGGGTGAAGGGGTAGAGAGGGAAGCTACAGTAGATCTCTACTTGAGAGGTAAACAATAAATTTCCTACTGAAGCTCCATGCTAGGCACATAGAAGACTTCACACACACACACACACACACACACACACACCCATACACACACGCACACGCACACACACACACACACCCATACACCCACTACACTTACAGCAAATGAAACGCCTGCAGTTGGGGAGCTTTTTCAGGGGAGGTATCAATGATGCTTGGGCCACTTGCTCTGGCACCTGCAGTGGTGGGAGAGGTTGGCCTTTGCTGAAAGAAGAGGAGATCCGAGGGGAAAAGGACACTTGCTGAAAGAAGAGGAGATCCGAGGGGAAAAGGACACTTGCATCACCAGCTTGAGATGGCAGCTAAGCCAGGAATTCTACCTACAAACTTCATTTTGGGAGGAATCCTTGGGTCGTATATTTGGATCTAGAAAGGCCAGACTCCCATATTCCAGGGGAGGGGGATGGGACTGGTAGTGAGGGTGAGACTTCCATGCAGTTGGTTCTGCATGGAAGTCAAAGTCTACAATGGAGGGTGACACAAAATGGATCTATAGGAGAAAAAGAGGTAAGATGGTTCATACTCCTGAATGTCCCAGCATAGAGATCCAACGTCCCTGAAAAACCACAGGGAACATCCAATAATAAGAGTCAACATGAAGGCCGCCTTCATATTGTGGCAGAAATGGACATCTTCCCAGGAAATGGGCACTGAGACAAAGGCGCAGCCCTCCCAAATCTATGGCCCTGGTCTCCCAGTCTCCGATAGACCCCACTTCTTCCCAGGCCATATGTCTTTCTCTCCCCTCCCAAATAGAGACAGTCCCTTCCCTCCAACATTCTCCACCAAGCCCTTCAAACCTTGTCAGCCTGTCTCATGTGCTGGACTTCCCAGCTCCTACCCATCACGGAATACAAACTGATCCAGCCATCGAAGGAGGCAGCAGAGAACACTGAGGGGTCCCAAGGGCACCACTACACATCAAAGCACCAGCTGCTCTGTGTGGGTAGCTTATATGCCACCTAATATGAAATAACACAACCAGTAGGGACCATACAGTCCACAAAACCCAACAAACATAGCTGCAGCTGGGATTCCTCCACCATCTGATCTCCCATCCCAGCAAACTCAAGGAAGGGCCAGCCCACCTCACTGCTCCCCAGATTCCAGCACAAGATCTGGCTGTCTTTGGCACTACTGAGCAGCAGCTCAGCATCAGCCTGGCTCCATGATACTGACAAGATCCCCCTAAAAAGGAAAGGAAAAAGGAACTAACATTTGTTGAATGCCAACTAGAGTAAGGAATCTTATACAAATATACCTTAGATAAATCTCAGCCTTATACAGTGGGTGGTCTGATTTCACTTTACAAATGAGGAAAACGAGGTTTTGAAAAATTAAGTAACTTTCAGACAGTTGCACACCCAGAACCAAAAGCTGAATCCCAGAGCCTGTGCACTATGCACTGTGCCACTCTGCCTCCCACAGGTAACTGCAGGAGGGCCTGCTGCTTTTCACTAAGAGTAAGGATTATGAATCATGCAAATGCCCATCCCTATGGCTGCTTTCAGCCCGGGAGGGTAGTGAAGACCTAACCCCCAAAAGTCCCAAGGAGATATAAAGGCAACGTGGCCCTCTGGTTAGAAATAACAGATTGTGGGGCCGGCCCGTGGCTCACTCGGGAGAGTGCGGTGCTGATAACACCAAGGCCATGGGTTCGGATCCTATATAGGGATGGCTGGTTCGCTCACTGGCTGAGCGTGGTGCTGACAACACTGAGCCAAGGGTTAAGATCCCCTTACCGGTCATCTTTTAAAAAAAAGAAAGAAAAAGAAATAACAGATTGTGGAGCTACACCCTTTGTTGTGGGCCAAGAGGTATAGCTTCAGTGGCAGGCCTGTCCACAGGATAGATGGAAGCCAAGTTGCTTTTATTAGGAAGTCTTAGAGGAAGCAACCTCATCACCTAAAGAAATGAACATTTTCCCCATACCAGAGCCTGAGGATTCTTCTAGAGGGACTAAACACTGGCTCCAATATTTCTAATGACGCCGTCCCTACTCCCATCTCTGGAAGTGAGATGGAATCTTAGGCTCTTTCCCATAACCCAAAGGTCTAAAGGAACTCCTCTTGGTTAGGGCTGGAGCTAGTATTGGGTGACCAATGTTCATTGGAATGGCTTTGAAGCCAGGGAGGATGTTTAGAAGCTAAAGTGAGGCATCCATTGTCCCTGTACCCAGGTCAGCTATGCCCACCATCCCCCTAAGGATGTAGCTGGGGTTTGAGATGCTACCTGCTGTGGCTGTCTAGCACTTTCAGAGGTGAGGAGGCAAAGCGCAAGTCCCACAACTGAATCACTGGGAGACGATCATCTTCTGAACATAGCACTACCTGGGTGGCTATGACTGGGTGCCAGGCCAGGCCTGAGCAGCACAGCTGTGAACAAAGCATAGCCCAATGGGTGATGCAACCTCACTCTTCTGGTTATGAACGTTTTCTGCCCAGTTGGAATGGGACCACTCTGAGGGCACATTTTATGTCTCTTCTATGTATACCACAGTCATCAGAAAATAAGTAATAACCATGAATAAGTCAGAAATGGCAAAAGCTTCAAGATCAGCTCTGTTTAGCTGCCCTAAGCTTTCGCTATCAATAGGAAATCTGCTAAGGGGCTTAAACCACATGTCCAACAGCTGAAAGCAGAACCCTGGCCTGCAGCAGCTCCAACTGCTAGGCCCAAGGGAGAAGCTGAGCCCCAGCATGTGTTCTGGCTTTCACTACTCACCCTGTTGCTGTGATCACTAACTTTGATGATAGGCTCATTCTTTCTGAGATCCCACACAACTGCCTTGCCACTGGGGTGAGCAGAAGACAGAATGTGTTGGACTTGCCGGTTCCAAGAGTGTGCCTTGATGTCTTCTGGGGGCTGCTGAAGCAGGATGGGGGCAGAGGGAGGAAAACTTGTCATCCCTGGACCAGGCAACATCTGCTTTTCCATTGCTCCCAACCACCCACAGCAAGCCCAAGAATACACATGGGACTACCCAAACCAAGACAGTCTCAGGGAGTTGGGAGTTGACTTTTCCAGGGAGTATCCTTTAGGGTACTGGTGTAGAAGCAGAGGGGATGGCAGGCACACTTGGGTTTTACTCCTATCCAAGGGTTCTCCTAAGAAGATAGTCAAGATTTTAAAACAGCCCTCTTGTCTAGGACAAAGAGAGAGGGAAAGAAGGAGGAAGGTAAGGGAGTGAGGGAAATATTGACATCCAAGTTCCCCAGAGAGAGTGAGGCAGAAAGAAAAACCTCTGCTACTTTCAGGGCATAAAATGCTATCAAATCATACTTAACTTACCTCACGATACTGTAAGCACAAGACAGAGACAAGCCAGGAAGCAAAAAGATGGGCCCAGTTACAGACTGACAGGCACACTCAGAAGTAGAAGACACACCAGAGCCCCAACTGCATGGGAGAGCTATATACACAGACACAGCTGACCATCCCCGCAAAAAGGACAACAGTACGTCTGGAGTCCTACTCTTGCTCCCTCTCTGCTGAGCCCAGGGCTCTCCCCAACCCTGCCGAAACTATGCTCTGATAAACAGCACCCCGCTCCTTCTTTACGCGTCTTTTTCCCCAACCTTCATTTCTCTAAGAAATTCCTAGAACAACTAATGATCACAAACCAACCACCCCCTACACATTCCCTATCCCACCCTCTACCCCAGCTCTTATCTGGCTGGTAATGTGTTAGTGTGTGGAGCTTTATTGCCCTCCAGTGGTAAAGCCTGAAACCTCCTGTGCTTTGGCCGGCTCCAGAACTTAAGACTTTACCTGAGGGAGTCAGGGGCTGGGGGCAAGTAGGGGTGTTCTCACCTGTGACTTGGATCCTGGGGTCATTGGCACACTCAGGTTATTCAGATCACAAATGAAGATTTCAGAATCACTGGCCCCTGAGGTTACCAGGTTGCCCTGTATGAACAAAAGGTGTTTGGAGACACACCATCTTGGGAAGAGATGAGGAGAGGAAGGGGGGAAAAGAAGTTCACATTTGGGGCTATCTAAAACCTCCCCTGGAAAAGCCTGGAAAGGGTTCAGAGTTATAGATCAGAGGCCGCAAGGGAAGGCTTCCACTCAGACCTGTTGTTTCATGGCTTGGCCGTGTTTGACTAACTGAAATGTTGTACCTGGAAAGGATTAAAGTCAAGTGCTCTGACAGCCCCCGTGTGCTTCTGTCTCTGGGCAATTACAGGCTCCTTCCCTGAAGACAGGACGTGGGTCACACTGTACAGAGTAAGCATGCCATTGTCTCCACCTCCTGCAATAACCCCGGAGCCTTCCAGAAGCCCATTGCCAAAGCTCCCCCAGATCAGCTTGTGAAAACTACAAAGAGGAAGAAGCAGTATCAGCACCAACCTAGGTCCACATCAACAAGCAGAGGGTGGGCATCTCTGTCAGCCTCTGCCATTATGAGGTATCCCCACCCCTAGCTGGGTCCTGTCTGTCTCCTTCATTTCCCAGACACAGACGGGTCTCCTCTGCCCAGTCCCGTCTTTCTCTGAAAAAAATATTCCATCTCTGTTACACTAGAAGCCAGGAAGCCACTGCCTCTGAGCCGTGTGGGGTAGGTTTTTTTTTGTTTTTTTTTTTAACATTAACATTGGAGTTATATAGGCTCAGTGATCAATAATCAAATAGATTATTTCCTTAATCCTCATAACTCAAATATTCAGGTAATAAAAACAACTTATTGAATACTCGTATGTAACAAGCACCGTTTTAAGTGCTTTACATGTATTAGCTAATTTGATATTTAGCAACTCTATGAGGTATTACTATGGTCTCCATTTTCAATTTAGGAAACTGTGGCACAGAGAAGTTATAAAACTTCTGTACACAGACCCAGTAATTTTAGCCACATTTTATAGCTGGGAATTTGCAGAGTCAAGGCTCAAAGTTGGGCTTATCTTATTCTAGAGTCTAAGCTCTTATCACAAAATACTGCCTCCTATTGAAAGGAAGATCCAAACTCTTATGTAACTGATTAGAAGCCAGCTCCCCAGACCACCAATTGCAGTCCCCCCTTTCCTCTCAAACTGGAAGTGAGAAAAGACCCCCAACCCACGTTTGTCTCATGTGGCTGCCCAATAGGAGCTGCTACATGGCTGCAATAGGCCATTCTTAGAGACAAAGAGGCATAAAAAGATAAATGCCACATTTGGGAAACATTTTCCTGGCTTTGTAAGTATGCTTCAAACAAGACACTGCCAGTGTCTTGCACAAAAGAAAAAGATGGACCCTGGATTCTCTGCAGACAAGTTTGGGTCCTCTACAAAGCCTCTAGGGGAAGGCATGTGAAATCCCTAAAGCTTTATAGGTGATCTGTCTCCCACTTCACGGTGGCTAGCCAAGGACATTTCAACAGCCCTTCAGAGAGGCCACATTTCACATCAAATGAGGAAATATACCCACATCCTGGGAACAGTCAGCAAAAAGACTGAGTGGGGTGATAGGGCAGGAACTTGTCTGACCAGTCATTAGAGCTGAACCAACCTGTCAGAAGTGAACAGATATACACCAGTTCAGACTAGGTTGGCATCTGAAGCAAAACAGCAGAGTTGACACATGGTAGCTCTAAGGCTACTGCCAGAAAGCCTGTTTTCTAAGGTTACACTGATCTTAATATAGCAGAAGAATGTGTTCCATAGTGGCTCAAGAGGCTGCTATGTCATCCAGGGACTAGGGCTCAGTATGGGCAGAGAGCAAGTCAAGAGAATAGCTAGAGAAGCCCATAACAGGTCACACAGAAACTAGAAGAGGGTACAGCCAGTAAAAAATACTCATATGGGAATGGAGAGGCTGCAGTGACCTCAGTATGGTCAGAGCAATTGACATACAGACTAGAGTAAAAGGTACTTGAAACCTCAAGGGAGAATCACTAAAGGGTTGAAAAGAGGGCAGTGGCTGAAATGCAGAAAACAGGGTGTGACAAAATGATTTTCTTTCTGTATGCACGTAGAAAGTACTTTTCTGTTGTTAACCACCTCACTAGTGAGGGTTAAGCTAGTGTCTAAACAGGTTGTGATAGAGAACACCCGGGAGAATGGGAACACCTGGGTTGAGTTAAGCAAGGATGGAGACTTGATCATACAGTGAACTGGAGGAGTGTCAATCATTTCTGCTCTGCAAATGGACAGGAAACAAGAGACAGGCACGTGCATGTGTGTGTATGTGTGTGTGTGTGTGTGTGTAGGGGAAGGGGGAGGGGGACAAAGGGGAGCAAATATGACAATATGTTAACAACTGATGAATATAAGTGAAGATCATATTATTGTTCATTGTGCTATTGTGCAACCTTCCTACAAGTTTAATTTTTAAAAAATAAAAAGTTAAAAAACAAAAAAGATGCCCTTTAGCCTGAAAATAGGAACTGAGAGTTGTAAGAAGGGATAGGAAGATGAGTTTGTATAGGAATGTGGGAACTTTTAAAACATGAGAATACAAGTAGAATTCTCTACTAAAGAGGTTCCCAGGATAATGATGGCAACGACAGAAACCATATGGTATCACAGAATGATGGGTGGCATCTAAAGAATACATGAGGGTTCTTCAAAAAGTTCGTGGAGATGGGGGACACAGGGTACGAAAGCAATTTCTGGTAATGGGTATGCTGCCAGTATAAATCTGGCCCTCACATCATGGGCATGAGGGGTGACAATCAGCTTTGTATCTCATGAATATTCATAATAAAAAAATAAATTTAAAAAAAAAAGTTGGTGGAGAAATAGATTTAAAAAATAATACAAATATTTCCAGGAACTTTTTGAAGTACCCTCATACAGGTTCCTTGATTCCTACCAGACCCTGTGAAGCAGAATTTCCAGAGACAGGCCCTCAGAACTTACATAGTAAACAAGAGCCCCCAGGTGATTCTAACAAGCAGCCAGGGCTGAGACCACTCTACTAGATACATCAGACTGAATACCAGTTTAGAACAATAGAGGAAGAAGCTGAATTTCATAAAGATAGAACCAGCCCTAACAACCAGCTCATGGTAAAATGAAAGCAACAAGGCTATCGATCCCTGTACCAGCCAGCTGGTGAAGGAAAGAAAAGAAAAAAGAAAAGACAAGGAAATAAGGAAGAAAAGATGGAAGGAAGGAAGAGAGGAAGGGAGGGAGGGAGAGAGAGACAAGGCTGAAAAGAATAAACTGAGGCCTGTGAGATCAGGACCCGGTACCAGCTAAGCTCATCTAGGACCAAGCTTTAGCTACCTTACAATTAGAAATCACTGCTGTATAAATTCTTGCTTCCATGATTTATTCACTGTTTTGAATTTTACTTTTATTTGCTTAGTATGGTCCCTTTTGAAAAATCCTAACCTTGTATTAGTGAGCTAAAGTGAAAAAGAGTTTGTCCACATCCAGGCCAAAAGAGCTGGGGGAATCCAAGTCTCCTTACAAGTTGGAGTGATGACGGTAGTGCTCCAGGCTGGAGAATGAAGACAGTGGAATGGAGCAATGACTGTTTGAGAGATAAACTATTCTGAATACATACTATGCAGCAGACTACTATGTATCTACTAGGTATCATGAATTTACAGCAGAGAAAACAAGGCCAGAGAAGGTAAATAACCAGCCCACAAGAACAATAAATGGCAAAGCGGGATTTGAACCCAGGTCAATCCAACGACAAAGCCCATGCTCTCTCTACTCTATGATCTTGATGCCTCTAGAGAGGAGGTAAGTCTTAATAACAGGAAAACTAAGACAGGTACACAGAATGATTTTTTTTTCTGCTTGGTGTTGTCCCTTACAGAGGCACCCCCAAAAAGGGGTCACAGTGCTCCCCAAGTAGCTAGAATTGAGATAAAGATGGAAAGATAGAAGATAGATCACCTACTTTCTCCGTGATACTAGAGGATGGGTCCTACAGAAGTTATGGAAGCCACTCAGAGATCCAGAACCTCAGTGTAGACAGAGGGTGGAGAGTAGCAGACCACACATTGGCCTCTGACCTCACTCAGCCACAGCACCTATGTCCTCAACAATGACATAAATAATGTATTATTCGTCCAGAAATCTTTCTTCTTGAGTGAAATTCATCTAACGAACCCAACGTTGCCTGCTTCAGTGCACATGCTAGTCCACATTGATTCTGATTGCATCCAGAGGCATTTATCCATGCACTCTCTTCAGTCTATTTATAGCTTGAAGCTGTTCCTTATCTACACCTATACCACTGTTTCTGAACACTTCTCTTTCTAAACAGATATTGCTAGATAGATATTTCTCTGATGCATCGCAGAATGACAATAAGGGAAACTCCAGTACCCAAATTTAGATGAGGCACAGGTTTGTTGAAAAGGGCAGGCAGAGGAAAGGAGATTTTGAAAATAGTATGTTCAGTTAATAATGGAGAGGCACAAGAAGAGGTTTTTAAAAAAGGAAAAGGAAGGCAATAACACTAGAAAAAGAAAGGGAAAGAGAGATTGAACATAAGACTGGAATTTGGGTCTCAGCAGATTCCCAGAAGTCATACTGTACAACCTCTTCTTTATATGTAAGAGAGGAAAGCTAAGACAACTGGCTTAACATTGCCAAAATCACACAGCTCTATTAATACTATAGCCAAGGCTACAACCCAACACAACTGTGCTTTCCACTACCCCATTCAGAAGATGACACAGAAGAGAAAGGAGAGAGGAAAGCACAAAACAAAGGATAAGTAGCCCTTTATCTACCCTGATCAGGTGGGTCAGTACTTCACGGTACTGACCTTTGAGTAAGTGACCTAACCCAGACTGGAACAGAAAGAAGTGGGTGTCTTAGATTCTGGGGTATCTAAGATGATTTCTTCAGAAAGGCCTCAAAAGGACAGTGTCAGGGCCGGCCCGTGGCTCACTCGGGAGAGTGTGGTGCTGATAACACCAAGGCCCGGGGTTCGGATCCCATATAGGGATGTCCGGTTAGCTCACTGGCTGAGCATTGGTGCTGACAACACCAAGTCAAGGGTTAAGATCCCCTTACCAGTCATCTTTTTAATAAAAAAAAATAAAATAAAAAGGACAATGTCAAAGGTAATCCCTTAGGTCTCTGAGAATGAAAATCAATCTTTTGACACAGTTATAGAGATGGGAAAAGAACGTAGAGGAGTCAGGCTTCGGTTCCCCAGACCAGCCAGTTGCCAAAAAAAAAAAAAAGTTTAAAAAAATACCAAAGTAGAGATGAAATACTACCAATAGTGTCAACTGTATTCTTTATTTTGGTTACTAGCCCTAAATCTCTGCAGACTGCAGCAGCAGTATAAGGGGAAGTTCATGACTCCCAAATTTAGTGGCTACATTTCAAAGAGTTTCTTCAACCTTGTTGGCTAAAAAACTAAGTCACCCTTGAAAAGCCTTTAAGGCACTAATACTAACTGAAGACTAAATGTTACTAACTCAAGTGTAGAACATGAATGCTGTTTGTTAACCTAGAAGTTTCTAATATCACTCATTCATTCAACAACTATTCATTAAACATAATGCCAGGCACTGTTCTAGGTGCTAGAAATAGAGCACTGAATAAAATAGATAAAAATCTCTGCCCACATAGATCTTAGAATTGTTTCAAGGTTTCTTAAACAATTATATTGCCTCCTTCTTAAGAATCCTTATCCCTAAGGAGCTACTACTGTGCTGAAGCTGTTGCTTGGTTGTTAAGGATAAACATTATTAAATAAGGTCACCCTTCTCAGAAGCCCTTTCTGAAATGCTTGTTTAGGGACTAAGAATGTCTCATAATTAATGGTAAATCTTCAAGTGCCTGGTCTTCAAAGGGTACAGGTACTGAAAATACAAAGAGATGTAAAAAACTGCAAAATAAGGGAAGCTGTCATAAGGCGATAAAGGGGATCAAGAAACAGTGAACAATAATTAACCTTTCATTATTAGGTTAAACTGTGGAAAGAAAGAACAGGGTACTTCTGCCTAAATATTTTAACTAATCTCTCGGAGAGACCAAGAAATGCACAAGGAGTTCATCAATCACCAGACGAAAAGTTGCTTTCTAGATTAGTAATCTCTAAAGTAGGGTGGCCAAGATAATTCACCAGGCTACAAGAAAACGATTTATGTTTTTAATCTAAAAAACAGTAGAAATTGTACTTCAATAGTAGCATAGTAATACATGCATATTGAATACATAACTTGAGTATAATCGATATGTACATTTTTCTGATGGTATAAAGATTTGGACACCACTGCTTCAGACTATAAATCCCACCTTTACAAAACCTTTAAAAGAACAGTGAAATAATGGAAAGAAGTAGGCTTTGGACTCAGGCCTAGACTTAAATCCTAGCTTCTCAGAGCATCAATTCCCTCCTATGTAAAATGGAAATAATGGTACTTATCGCTTAGGCTTATTTTGAGGAATGAATGGAATATACAGGGCTCCTAGTGCAGTGTCTGGGATGTATATATGTGCTCAATGAATGATACAGTATCTAGTCCTGTAAGCCTGCCACAGCCATGAAATCCGTGAGAACCAATCAGGGCCTAATAGCAGTGAGGAGAGGATCACTCGTTCTCCTCTCTGTTGGCAGAAAGGGGCGATATTGTGTAAGGCTGTTATCTCACAAGAGCCAAGGGAGGAAGGAGCCAACATCTCTGGGTTCAAAAAGAGATCAGGTACACATGGGTCCAGGCTTGTGTGGGCCATCCTATCACATGCGTTCTGCCTGACACTGGTGACTGCTGCTGCTGCTGATAACCAGAAAGATGGGGGTGGTTGTTTTTAAAGTCCTTTTGCAAAAGAATCCCAGAGTTAACTTCTCTCCACTTTGGCAAAGCTCCTTCTCGTCTCACTTGTCTTCTCATGAGCCCTAAGAAGCACACACTGTTCCTAGGATTCCTCATCAGTATCTTCAGCAGACTCTGCCCTGCATACCCACCACCAATTGAGAAATAGTACCTGTTTGAGGCAGAAAGGACTCCCTTGCATTTCAAGTCCAGAGAAGGGTCCTCGAAATCAACCTCAAAGATTTCCAACGTGCCATTTGTGCTAACAGAGGCATCTAGCTGTTGGGCAGATGTTCCTGGGCACAAGAAAAGTCGAGAAGAGGCAGCAAATGAGCAACAATATATGCGTGGATTTAAAGTATAATACATGCATGGAAAGGAGGAGGAACAGGAGAGGGGTGAGTATACCCTTTCTCAAAGGGTAACTGTAAAGAAAGCAAGAAAGCATGAGTGCCTAGCCTTAAGCCATACTCCAAGGCTGCCCCCAAGTACTCAAAACACCTGATATCCCCCTGCTTATGCTGTGAACCAGCCCTACCTTTCCATGATCCTAAACCTATTTCTGATGCTCAATAAAGAATTCTAGGGCTGGCCAGTTAGCTCAGTTGGTTAGAGCATGGTGCTGATAACACCAAGGTCCAGGGTTCAATCCCTGTACCGGCCAGCTGCCAAAAACAAACAAACAAAAAATAAAAAAGAATTGTAGATACTATGTTTCATATGCTATGAACTTCGAGTGGATCTTAGTTCACAGTATCACCATACCTGTGGCCAGATACACAGGGTACTGGTTGACTGGGCTCCACACTTGAACAGCTGGCCACCCAAGTTCCTTCAGCTTCATAGTCTGTCCTGTAGGTGGCAGAAAAATGACATCAACCTTGGCCAACTAAAAACAGAAACTAGCAAGCTTAATGGCCAGACCCAGGAAGTATCTGGGTCTGACATGGATTTCATATCATCTCAAGACATGAGATCTTGTTTCTCTCTCTCTACCATGAGATGGGGCATTTCAGGGCAACATTGGGTGACAAATACATGACCATCTGGAGACCTAAGAACAGTTCATTTACCCAGTTACTGAAATCTAATGCTTTAAACCTCAAAAGATATTCAATCGCACTGGTTGCTACAGGCCCAATGGTGATAACCATCAAACCAGATAATTGGGAGATTTTGTCCATTTCCTTGACTTTAATACCATCCATATGCTGATGATTCCCAAATTTATATCACCAACAAAAATCTCTCCTTTGAGCTCCAAGTTCTTATATGCAATGGCTAATCAAATATTTCCACTTGGATATAGCAGAGATACCTAACTTAGTCTGCCTAAAATGGATTCTCTATCCTACCATCTGTTCCCCACAAATCTCTTCTGTTCTTCCTCCAGTTTTCTTCATCATGGGAAATGGTACCACTATCCACCCATCTGCTCAACCCAAAACCCTGATAATCATCCTTGATCCCTCCTTCTCCCTCATTCCCTTCTAATTCATCATTTAGTCTTCCTTATTTTATCTCCAAAATATATCTTAATCTGTCTGTTCTTCTCCATCCCCACTGCCACTGACCTGTTTGACCTACTATCAGCTCTCGCATCCGGACTGCTGCAATAGTCTCCCAACAGGTTGTCTCCTTGCTACCTGTGCCATCACCCAATTCATTCTACATAGCAGCAAAAGCGAACTTCTAAAATAAAAAGTAGAATTTTGGCATCCCATGCCAAAATCTTTCAATGATTTCTATCACACTCAAATAAAATCCAAACTCCTTTGAGCCCTGCTCAAAGTCTCCAGCTTTCAACTTCATCTCTTGCTACTTTCCCCCTTATTTCTTTTCTCCAGCCATGGTAGCCTTCTTTCATTTCCTGACTTTTTCCTACCTCAGAGCCTTTACAAATGCTGTACTTTGAATGCTCTTCCCTTCACTCTCTGCATTGACTGGCTTCTTCTCACATTTTGGGGGGCTCAGCTTCTCAGCTCCTCAGAAAGGTGAACCACCCAATTAAAAGCAACCTCATCTTTTTCTTCTTAGCAATTTATAATTACGTATTTATTTAAATTTACATTGTTGGTCTCTTCCACTAATATGTAAGCTCCATGAGAGTTAGCACCATGTCTGTTTTGTTCATCCAGAACAATGTCTGGCACACAGTAAGTGCTCCATAAATATTTGTTGAAAGAATGCAGACATCCATCTTAACTCTGTAGTTTTCAATCTAATTCTAATGCATATTCAAGGTCCCATCCCAACATGCTAGCAAAGGGGCAGAAAGATTTTTTTTTTAATTACACTGAACTTGAGGGAGAAAACTTGGGACCTACTGTGACCTGCTTGAGCAAGCCACCGTCAGGTCAGTCTCACCTACAAAAACAGGAGGTTGTATTACTTAATCTTTAATATAATTTCCAGCTTGAAGGAAGTTTAAGGCTACCAATTAAGCCAGGATTTCCAGGGGAGCTCTAAACACTTCAGGCTATACACATCGGGTATCCTCTGACTAGCTGCACAATATACTATACAGTCAGCAGTGCCACCTGCTGGTCACAACCGTTTTCACGATTCTGGGGCATGATCTAACAAAAATAGGAACTGTAATTAGCAACTGTGCATTTGACATACATATCTCATTTCATTTTCTCAATGGTTCTATAAGCACTATTATAATGCCCAATTTACAGAGAAGACAACTGGCTAGGCCAGGATGTGAACCCCAATCAGCCTCCAGAATCCATACTTTTAACCATTATACTAGTCTAAACCAACCCCCATAAAGTATTTAAATTGCTGACAGTCTAGGAATTGCGAAAATGGGCTCTTAATCCACTTTGTTCAGAGGCATCTGTTCACTAAAAGAGCTCCCGCTGGAGTTAGAATAGCCACGGTGGAGGGGGTGGGGAGAGGAGGGGGGCGGAAAGCTATGACCATTCAACCAAGAGCTGAGCAGATTCCTGCCATGAAAGAGGGCGACTGCTACCCTTTACAGTCCAGTCCCTAGGGAGGACGGTCAGCACAGCTTCTTTCCCGCCGTCGCAGAAGCGCGGCGCAAGGGTCAGTAATAACAGGCCTTCCCGCCAAGCCAGGACGCAGCGACCTGGTGCGGGCTCGGGGCCAAGTCAGGTCGCCTCAAGGCTGATGGGAAGGCGCGAGGACAGCGCTGACAAGAGACACTCGTCGGGCTAGGGGACCCCGGCGCGGCAGGGAGAGTGGAGCCGGGTGCAACCCCACGGCGGGGAACAGGCCCTGTGAGGCGCACTGGCCGGAGCCGCGAGGGCGGACAGGACCCGCGGGCGGGGCAGGCGCAGCTGGGGTCTCCGCAGTGAACGAGCTTCCCCCGGCGCGCTCCCGAGGGAGAAGCGGCATTCCGGGGCCTCTGCACGGTCTGTGCTTTCAGGGGCCCCAGGGCAGCGGAGAAAACCAACCTGCGCGGAGGGAAGGCCGGGGTCAGGGTTCAGGGGTCAGGCGCGGCGGCCGCAGCCGGTGCTCTAGAGGGGCTTTTCGGTTCAGCTGGGCGCGGTGGACGGCGGCTGCGGAGGGTCAAAAGCAGTCCTGGCCAGCAAGGCACCGCCATGGAGCGCAGAGTTGGGGACCCGGTGTCAATCGGGCTTCCCACACCTGCCCTGTGATTTCGCAGTTCTGGCGCAGTGGCACAGACCCCGACCTGTAAATTCTGGTCTATTCAATTCGAGCCAGGCTCTAGAGGCAGCCTCTGAAAAGGGAAAATTCTAATTCAATTCATTCTCTGTTTATTGAAGCGGTAGAAGACCCAGCCCTAGCCCCAGGAGCTCTTAGTGGAATCCACTTAGTTGAAAAGGTAAGGAGCAACTTAGGGCGTAAAGAAATGGCGGTGAGTGACACACTGCAGCCCAGCAATGATTGGTGCCCAAAAAGTTTTGAATTAAGGGCTAGAGGTGCTTGGGGGTAGAGATCACTGTGGACCAGGGGATTCCTGGAAGAATTCAGGAACATGAGACAGGTGTTATCGCTTGGATCTGCAAGACAGGTGAAATCCCAGCAAAAAGGAAGAGACTCATTGGCACCCATACCATGAAACAGAGACTGTGGTGGATGTGTTGGTAGCCTGGATGCAGATTGTGGAATAGTTGATTCAGTTCTGCACATAATTGGAAGTTAACTGAAAAACATGGCGTAGGGACGCAATAAGATTGTATTTTGAGACTAACAATATAGAACCCCTTAGGGAGAGTATAGCTGAAGGCATGGATTCAAATTAGGAGACTAACAGGACAATACAGGTACCAGATTAACAGCCTGAATTAATACAACACTGATGATTGTAAAGGAGAGCCCCACAGGATCTTGTGACTGATAAAGGTAAGGACTTCAAGATTATTATGGCTTCAGAGCATGGGAGGCTAGAAAAACAGTGGTGCTACTAACAGAGCTGGAGAACTTGAAGGGGTGAGGAGAGGGATGTGAAGAGATGGTATTTATTTTTTCTGTTGAGGGAACTATGGCACTTCCACCTAACAACATTGTGTAGGCAGCTGAAGATCTAAGACCAAAGCTGATTCAAAACTTCCACTTAATGCATGAATTCCCTTGTATTCCTGCCTGATATACTGACAAAGATGAGGAGCTGGTATCTTATGATGGGGCCCAACTCATTGTGACATAACTCTAGAATTCCTTTTCACATGGACTTGGGAGTTTTATAGTCAGAAGACAATTTAGGGCATTATCTGTGCCTGGCCCACTCATTCTCCCTTCTGAGCACTCAACAAGAATTTCTTGAACTTCTTAGCACAACGGTGGATGAGACCTGAGGAAAAGTAAAGTGTTGAAAACTGAAGCTCAGGCAACACCCAGAATTAGGGAATGAGGCAGAAGTGTTACTGAGGGAGTGCTCCAAAAAAATTCTGAACCAGAGGACATGATTAAATAAAATAAAAAGTGCACTTTTCTCAGCTCACACATCTCTTAAGAATTCTTTTCACCTTGCTTTATAAATATGCCAGTCTCCTTTTCTAGGTAACTACTTGAAGGCAATTATTTTGTCTTGCTTAATTTTATATCCCCAGGGCCTATCACTGTCTGATATATATTAGCAAACACAGATGTTTGTTAAATAAATGATTACCAGATGCTATAGAGGACAAAGGATGAAGACAGGTAAAAAGCCAGTGGGGACCTTCAAAGAGTGGCACTTCAGTAGAAGCCCCCTCCCTGATCTCACAAAGGTCTTTCACTGCCTGGACAACCACTAAAGGACCCTACGTAACTTGAATGAACTTGCTTCTACAGGTTCCATTGACTGTGTGCTTTTTTTTAATGGGACAGGTTTTCAGGCACTATGATTGTAATTTAAGAAAATGTCCCCAAGGGACACAAAGAACATGGGTTGGTTCACTTAAAAACAGATGTACTGAGATAGTCTCTCAAAAACATGTTTTTCCTTTTTTCTAAGGCTAATATAGGAGGCTTGGATGAATCATTAAAGTAATGAAAGCTATGAGTAGATTCGGTAATAACTCAATGAACTATCCTCTAATTCATAAATATAGGTAATGACAGCTTATTAAGAAGCCGTGATTCAGAAGTTGTTTTGGAAGGAATACATATTCTTACAACAGAAATAAGATCAGAGGCAGTCACAGCCTTAAGCCAGCCCCAGAACATCTATCCTATAACGTACTTGAAACATGTTAGAGTATAATATTTTTTTAACTAACCACTATTATTAAAAAGGTTTTTTATGGGAAGTAAATCTTGTCCCAACTTGGAAAGTCCTTCTTCCTTTACCCTGTGAATGAGAAAAGGAGCTACCCTTACCACCTCCTGTGCAACTGGAACCCTCAACAACCTTCACAGTCCCACTGAAATTAACAAATTAACATCTTATGCTTAACCCAGCCACCCTACTACCCTATCCTTCCAATTTCAGAGGAAGAAAATGGGGAGGAGGGCAGATAGTAGGCATAAAAAAAAAAAAAAGAAAGAAAAGGATGAGATTCCTCATGGCAGTGACTATTCCTGGGAAACGAAGCACAGATATTATAGCACTAAATTTTATTAGGGATTACATTAAGGTTAAATCTCTAGGAATGAGGGAGTCCTAGTTAGAGGGCAAAAAAGCCCACGAAGCCTCCTCAGATCTCATAGTGAACCACCGGCTCAGGTTCTTTAGTGGGATCGCCGCCTCGTTCCAGGTACAGATTATTATAAGGATACTGCTTTGGCCCCTAAGGAAAAAAAACACAGATCAGCAAGAATATACATCCAACCAATACCTAGCTATACCCCACTCAGAGTTAACAATCATGTGAGTAAATGGGTACACAGTAGCCTCTGGTCAGACCCAGCTGTGCTACAACAACAGGAACTGTACTCCTCTTCCCGCTCAGCCCAAGGCAGATAGAAAGCCTAAACTGTAGGAGAAGTAGTGGTGCCTACACGGGGGCACGGAGCAGAGGGAGAGAGAGGGGGGCCAGAGAGAAGGGGAAGAGAGGGAGAGAGTCAAACTCAAAGCTTTCTAAATGAGACGATGCATCCATCCATTCCACTCTCTCTCTTGGGGTCGAGACAGACTCAATCTCCTTTAAGTCACTCAGCCTCTAATGGTTCCACCACTAAAGTGGCCTAGCAAATGAGGCGTGCAGGAGCAGCAGTGGGGGGAAGCACAGAGGAGACACGGCTGGGACGTGCTTTAGGGGCTACTGGCTTTACCAACAAACAGCTGTCAGAGAACACAGCTCAAAGGGAGGAGAAAAGGGTGATATGCTTACAGAACTGAAAAATGGAAGAGCCACACTGTGCTTCTTGCTCTCCTGAAGTGAAGTTAGTGCTCACACCAGCCCTAAGTGCACTTTCCAGCATACTGCCCCTGGGGCTTGGTAGGAAGGCTCGTGTCAGTGCACACAGATATACCGGCTACCTTCAGAACATTGATTATCTCTGCAGAGGTAGCACTGGGCAGCCAACTGCAAACACAGCAGCCTCCCTGCTTTCAGTTCCTCTCCTTCCAATCCATCGTATAGACTACTCACAGATTAGTCTTCCTAAGAACTCAGCCTTCATTATGTCACCCTTCTGTGCAAAAACTCAAAATGGTTCCCCAAGTCATCACCGTATCCCCAACCCCTAGCACAGTTTGCACCTGATACCCAGTAAGTGCTCCATAATCATTTGTTAAGTTAATGCATTACTACACCATCAAGTCCAAATACCTTTGCTATTCAACAGAAAGTGCTGACCTAACTGATAAACTCACCTCACAAAATTTTTTAACAGTGATTTCCAAATCTACAGGCACATCAGAATTACCTGACAGCTTTTTCAAAGTATTGATTCTAGAACTCTACTGTAGAACTAGTGAATTAGGATCTCTGAGAATCTGAATTTTTAGCACCTCTCCAGGAAACCAATATATCTGGTAACCGGCCATCCCTATATGGGATCCGAACCCGGGGCCTTGGTGTTATCAGCACCGCACTCTACCGAGTGAGCCACGGGCCGGCCCCCTGACAGCTTTTTCAAAGTATTGATTCTAGAACTCTACTGTAGAACTAGTGAATTAGGATCTCTGAGAATCTGAATTTTTAGCACCTCTCCAGGAAACCAATATATCTGGTTGTCTAGGAACTATTTTATGGCCTATGTGCCTATTCCACTCCAGCTAATGCATCCTTGTTTTTTGTTTCCACTTGCCTCAAATGTTTTCTAACTTCTCCCCATCACCCACATCCTATTTTTTTAACATCTAGCATAACCCTTCTCCTTGACAGCAGCTCATACCTCAGCACAGACATTCACTATACACCATATATACATTCAAACTGTGCCAAACTCCCATATCTGCTCAAACGTTGCCTATCATATTGTTTACCTACATTTTCTTCTTAATTAAATTATACTTAAAGCTAGAGAGTATAGAGAGTATATATTCAATGTCCTTTACAGTCTCCAAAATATAAATGTTTATGCTTGTAGTAAACAATTGCTTCCAGTCCCCTCCCTACAGGAAGTGCCCTTTACATGCCCAACAAAGGATAAGATTTCAAATCTAGACTCCTTGACTCTATCTTTAAAGATCACTCACTGAAATATAACTGGTAAATACAATCCCCAAATGGCAACTCTGGAAACTAGCTGGCTTCCATAGTGCCCTTTACATGCCCAACAAAGGATAAGATTTCAAATCTAGACTCCTTGACTCTATCTTGAAAGATCACTCACTGAAATATAACTGGTAAATACAATCCCCAAATGGCAACTCTGGAAACTAGCTGGCTTCCATATTGTTTCCTCACCTAGTCCTAAAGTACCTTCTCACAAAGACTGGTCCCAGAAGTAGCAGTGGATCAGTGCTCTGGTACTTGTGCCAGGCCAATGGGTAAGGCCCTCCTAACTTCCATCTCCCCAGGCTCCAGGAAGGCAACCTTCATATTGGCTGCATCCCTACTCCAGACACTTCACTTCCTCAGGAAATGGGGCCAACCAAGTAAATGTGCTTAAGGGAGCACTTCCCAGATACTCACCACAGGCTGGTAGGCAGGGTAATTCTCCCCAAGCCAGAACATGAACATCATGAAGGCCACAAAGCCAAAGAGGTGCTTAAACATGATATTCCAAGAAACAGGACTGGGGGACGTGTCCACACGGTTCCTGATATACATGTCTAGGTTCCAGTGTATCTG